GCTGGACTGTGGGGCTGGGAAGGGGGCGGGAAGAGCGGCGGGACTGGCTGTGGCCGGGGGGGGCAGGCTGGTTCGCCTCCTCCTCCTCCAACAGGCAACAGCACTGCCGGATCCAGTTGTAGCCGCCTGCAAAACGTTTCCTTTACAGAGTTTCTCTGCGCGGCAGATAGAAACTCTGCACGGGGCTTTCTTGCAAGGTGCGCGGCCGCGCAGCCGCGCACCTTAGAGGGAACAGTGGGGTACAGCATGGCCTCATAACTGGATGCCCAATTCAGTTGTCCAAACAATTCAGTTATCCACCTCTGGTGCTGCTTCGTGCAGTTCTTCTAAGGAACCAGAGAATGCATGCCATGGGCAATCTTGCACAACATATTTAATAGTTTGCATCAGTGGCAGGATTCGGCCACTTCGGTCCGGTTCAGGCAAACCAGTTATTAAATTGCTGGCTGGCCCTGCCCCTTCCTGCCCATCCCTTCCAGAAGTCCCTACATACCCTGTTTTGGCTCCCAGGTAAGTGCAGGGAGGCCTACTGGGCCCACAACAGGGCAGGTTTGTGTGGCGTGGGCCCCCTGCTTCCCATTTTTTCTCCCAGGAGGCTGCAGGGAGGCCAGGTGCTGCCTGTCACACACCATGGCCACGCCCACCCCACCCACGCACACCCATGCAGTCATTAGGGCAGAGAACTGGTTGTTAAATTATTTGAATCCCACCACTGGTTTGCATATCAGCACCATCATTGAAACAAGTTGAATCTTTCCATCCTCATTGGTACAGAGCAGAGGCATTTCTTGCAGTATCACACCTAATTCTGTTTAATTTCATCCAGAATGAGGCAGGTTAAAACCAGGTGGTGTCAACTGTCCAGTTGGCGAATCTAGAAAAAGAAACTTCTAGGACAGCAATGACAAACCTTTTTTGGCTCATGTGCCATAAGTGGGGGGAGCGCAGGTGGGTCGTGCGCAGGTGTGCCGCAACCATAATGCAATGTGCGACCCTACCCAGTGTGCATGCGAACATGACAGGCACTTCCCCCATTTTTTGCATGCTTTTTTCGCCCTCCCCAGGCTCCAGAGGCTATATAGGAGCTTGGGGAGGGCAAAAAAAGCCTCCCCACCCCCCTGGAGGCCCTCTGGAGCCTTCAGGGACCTTCAAGAGGCTTCCTGAAGGTTCCAGAGGACTAAAAACTACCCTATGTGCTTGTAGGGCTGTTTTTAGTCCTCTGGAGCCTTCAGGGACCTTCCGGAGGCTCCGGATGACTAAACATGGCCAGTTTGCTCGTAGGGCTGTTTTTAGTCCTCCGGAGCCTTCAGAGACCTTCTGGAGACTTCCCTGAAGGCTCCTAAGGACTACAAATTACCCTACAAGGAAACTGGACTTCTGGTTTGCCCGTAGGGCCATTTTTTGCGCTCCGGAGGCTTCAGGGAAGTTCCTGAAGCCTCCTGAGGGCCTCCGGATGACTAAAAACAACCGGTTTGCTTGTAGGGTCATTTTTATTCCTCCAGAGACTTCAGGGAAGTCTCTGGAAGGTCCTTGAAGGCTCTGAAGGGCTTAAATCAGCCCTACAAGCAAGCAAACTTCCAGTTTGCCCATAGGGCCATTTTTTGGCACTCTGGAGGCTTCAGGGAAGCTCCTGAAGCCTCCTGATGGCCTCCAGGGCAGCTGGGGGAGGCTGTTTTTGCCCTCCCTATTAAGCCTCTGAATCCTGGGAAGGCCGTTTTTTGTCCTCCGGAGCCTTCAGGGAACCCTCCTGAAGGTCCCTGAAGGCTCTGGAGGGCTAAAATCACCCCTACAAGCAACCTGGAAGTGACTTCTGGTTTGCTCGTAGGGTCGTTTTTTGCCCTCTGGAGGCTTCAGGGAAGCTCCTGAAGCCTCTGGAGGGCCTCGGGGAGGGGCACAGAGGCTGATTTCACCCTCCCCAGGCTCCTATAAAGCCTCTGGAGCCTGGGGAGGGCAAAAAAAGCATGCAAAAAATGGGGGGGTCGCGCTTGTCATGCGCCCATGTGTTCTGGGTGTGTGTGTCACACATTACATTATGTGTGTGGCACACCCACACATGACCCCCCCTGCGCTCCCCCTGCATATGGCACGCGAGCCAAAAAAGGTTCGCCATCGCTGACCTAGTCCATGTATATTTTGTCATTAAGCTCCTGCAGACACAGGAGCCTGACATCTGCTTTTTGTGAACCATTTGAACATTACAAAAGAGATCTCTATATTCAAAATGTTACTCAAGATGGGATTATTTTAGGTTCATGAAAATGAATGATCTGGACAAGAAAGTTCTTGGCAGGGAAATCACTTTGATCCTGTGCAGCCTTTGAGATTAGATGCTCTGACATCTGCTGCTTTCAAATATTTCTGTGCATTCCCCACTTCCCCTAGCTTATTAGAATTTGATTGATCCTGTGTTCATGGGGTGTAAGCCAGGTGATAAGCATGCTTGGTGGTAGCCATCACATTGTGCGACAACTTAGCTCCAAATTAGTACCAGGAAAAGTTACTTGTGGAACATCTTGACTCCTATTAGTACAGGGGACTCCCAACCTCCTTGCTTTTATGAAGCATATTATATGGGTACCAGAGGCTGGTTGCTCCTGGTTTGGCCTGGATTGAGTGAACCAGTAATGGCGGCAGCAGGAGGCTCCACCCACCCACCTGGACGCTTCTGCGCATGCACAGAAGCATTGCGTGCACAAGGACGAGCAAAACAGTAGCCCTGGGATTTGTAACCCACCTCTCATGGGTACTATATGTGTTTTTTCTTAGGTAGCTCTCATAATTAGTTGAATGTAATTTTGAATTGTTCTAATTCTATTGTGAATGATTGTTTGAACTTCCTTTTCTTATTCCCTCTTTTTCTTATTCTCTCTCCCTTTTCCTCCCCTTCTCTGTTTCTTTGATCAGGATTGGAAAGGACAGCTCCTTACAACAATGTGATCATGCCTAGCTTGTTTGGCATTATTTGCTTTCTTGGCATAGTTGGGAATCTTATTGTAATCTACACCATCATCAAAAAGAAGAAACTTCGGTGCAAGCAGACAGTGCCGGATATCTTCATTTTCAACCTTTCCATTGTAGACTTGCTATTCCTGCTGGGCATGCCCTTTCTCATCCACCAACTCCTTGGCAACGGTTCCTGGTATTTCGGAACTCCATTGTGCACTATCATCACCGCCCTGGATACCCACAGCCAGATTACGAGCACCAACATTCTGACAGTTATGACCTTAGATCGTTACCTGGCAACGGTCTATCCTCTGAGGTCCACTTATGTCCGAACGCCATGTATGGCAACCTTGGTTATCAGCCTGGTGTGGCTCCTCTCATTTTTGACCATCATCCCTGTGTGGATGTATGCAGGACTGATGCCTTTGGATGATGGGACTGTCCGGTGTGCTCTTTTGCTTCCCAACCCCGAGACTGATATCTACTGGTTCACCATCTACCAGTTCATGCTAGCTTTTGCAATTCCATTGATCATCATATGCGTGGTGTACTTCAAAATCCTCCAGCATATGGCCACCACTATTGTGCCCTTACCACAGAGACGCCTTCGGGCTCGTACCAAGAAGGTCACTCGGATGGCTGTTGCCATCTGCTCGGCCTTCTTCATTTGCTGGGCACCCTTTTATATCCTTCAGCTGGCCCACTTGGGAATAGGCACCCCTTCTGTTGCCTTCTTCTATGCCTACAACTTTGCCATCAGCTTAGGCTATGCCAACAGCTGCCTCAATCCTTTCCTCTACATTGCCCTAAGTGAGACTTTCAAGCGCCAGTTTATGGTAGCAATCCATCCAGCCAAAGAACACTTCAGGGTAAACAACCACAACCACAGTATGATGGAAGCCAGTGTGTGCCTGAAGCTTGCCCCAGAATCCACTCAACAGACTCGGTTTTTGGAGGGGTTTTCCCCACGTTCCTTGCCTGTGACGGTTGCAGTTCACTAGTGTCTTTCCTAAGAGATTCGTAGTTCTGCTATTTGAAGCCCAAGTTATATGTTTTCCTTCGCAGTCATCCAACACATGATAAATGTGTGGCTTCCTCAGAACAACTGCTAGGCACAAGTCAATGAGGTGTTAATGGGAATCTGAAATGTGCAAATGCTAATAGGTCATTTATTCTGATACATGAAGGGAAGGGATGAAATAATTGCTGAGAGGATTGGAGGCAAGTATCCACTTGAAAACTATTGAAGAGTCATAATGTAGAAATCATCCCATCAATAACATATAGCAATAGCAATAGCAATAGCAGTGGACTTATATACCGCTTCATAGGCCTTTCAGGCCTCTCTAAGCGGTTTACAGAGAGTCAGCATATTGCCCCCAACAATCTGGGTCCTCATNAACTTCCACCAGCACAATGAGTAACCCCTCCCAAATACCATGCCCTCCCTCCCCGTTTCATGGCAGCTGAAGCAATAGCAAAGCAGAAGCTGACAGATACTAACAATTTAGCAGCTTCTCCTCCTCCTCCAGAAAAGGACTAGAACTTAGAAGTATCTGCAGGGAGGGATGGAAAGAATTTTCATCTTGCTACTTAAAATAAACTTTTTTCCCATGACGTGTATTTCATTTTTATTTTATTTCATAAATAAATTGTTTGGAGTTTAGCTATATGCATCTACTAAACCTAAGTGGTAAAAAAACAGGCATCAGGACAAACAGTTAAGTCTACATATTTTGCTCTAAGATATAATACTACCATATGTCTACCTATGAACGGTATTGGCGTGAAAACATAATTTTTCTTCTTTGCTAAAATCAAGCCTGCCACTTTTTGATTGTCTTCCTTTCATTAAAAAAGTGATATCTTGCCAATCTATGCAAGAGCTGGAGCTCAGTGTTCTGTTTGCACTCCAGGTGGCACTATGGAAGGCAAAGTTGGGCTGTGATAATTCTTGACTTTCATTGTTGAATGAGAGCCACAGATGCACATATCAGAGGCACCCTGTCTTTTCTATTAAGCTACATTGGATGAACTCTTTTAGTTGACTCATGTGCATTCCAGGTCCGCTTGGCTCATAAAATTAAGCACCTGAAAGCTTTCTGAGCATAGAAATGAGCTCCCAGTCTCATTAAGACTGGACTCCAGATGCCTCAGAATCCAAAGATCCTGTCCCTTCAGAAGAAAAACTGGCAGATATCTTTCACTGGTAATGGAACAGAAAAAATATTTCCTTATTGAAATTCTGCCTGTCATACAGTTGTTCAAGTCACAGGAAACTTCCTTGGAAAAAGAAAAGGAAACCAAAGAACACTAATTATATTCATTTTTGATTGAGTGTAGCCTTTTTTGGCCGGGGGGGGGGGGACACTTTCCAATGGCTCAGAGTGCATCTTTGGACAGAAAAACACTAAGAGTTGTGAAAATGTTCAATTAGCTTAAAATTCTAGATATGGATGACTACAGTTGAGGAGTGACTGTCCATTACTGTACTGCTGAACATCAATTTCTGTTTTCTGTTTAATTTTAATTTTAATAGATTTGTCCTCTGCCGTTCTCTTTCCATATATTAGGACAGCTATTTCAAACTTTGAATGGAGCTAGATTGGACCTTCTATAGTGTGGGGAAAGGCATGTAGAAATATAGGACCGAGTTGATATGCCCTTTAAAATTGTGAATGACAGAAAGTCACTGTCAAGAATTCTTAATAAGTGTCATAATGAAACTTTAACCTAAGAAACTGGGATTTCTGCTCCATAGGATTTTTATCCAGTCCTGTATCCTTTCCTATGATACCGGTTGTATATCTTTCTCCAAGTAACAGTAAAAGCACAGGAGATAAAAATGGCAGGAAATGGATTTCAGATTAAAGGTTAGAGCTAAACAACTGTTATAAGAAAATGTCTGTATTTTGTCATCCTTACATTTGCGCTTGATTTTATCAAAGTCACAGAGTTGTGTTTCTGAAGTTGATGATGGTTCCAATGGATGAAATCATTTTGGTGTTCATAGGAGAGGAGAGAAATGCCCCAAAAATGTATGGTAGTAGAGTAGAAAAAGAAGTAAATACCACCCCACAGGCTACATGGGTACATGGACAACAACAACACTGTTAGGAATCCTGTTCTTCTTTCAACATCTTTTTCCACTTAAGTGTAATCTGTAAATTTTCTATTGCAGTTCACAGAACAGGGAAAAACATGCTTAAAGTAGCTTGAATGCAATCATATAGACTTCATTATTAATTTGTTTATTTATTAAATTTAGACACCACCCATCTCAGTGTCTAAGTGACTCTAGGTGGTTTACAGATATACTGGATAGGTAACATAGGAAAGGGTACAGGACAGTTTCTTTTCAGTTTTACATGGTGTTATAGAGAATTAAAAAGGGACTTGGCTCAGTGGCTAAGATGCTGAGCTTATGGATCAGAAAGGTCAGCAGTTTGGCGATTCGAATTCCTAGCACCACATAACGGAGTGAGCTCCAGTTACTTATCCCAGCTTCTTCCAACCTAGCAGTTCAAAAGCATGTAAAAATGTAAGTAGAAAAATAGGAACCACCTTTAGTCGGAAGGTAACAGCATTCCATGCACTTTCAGCTGGCCACATGACCACAGAGACATCTTTGGACAGTGCTGGTGTCAGGTTCCAAATAGCATCCAAAAGTAAATCAGAGTCCAAGGCAAAGTATTGTTNTTATGTTCTAACTTTATCAAGATAACTATGACCATAGATTTTTGCAAATCTGTTTGTGCTGCACCTCCTTGTCGAATTGTATGACTGTTGTGTTTTTAATGATGTATTGTTTTCTCATGTTTATGACTTGTTTGTCCTCCCTCCCCTTGAGTTGTGAGCCGCCCTGAGTCCCCCCAGGGAAAAGGGCGGCATACAAATAAAGCATCTCAATCTCAATCTCATCTCTCAATCTCAGTGAATCAGAGAAGTGTCTCCTTCAGCCACTACCAAATATTAATTTGCTTCCCAGGACTTACAGAATGGTTCAGCCCACTTTCAATCAAGGTTCCTCTCTTATTTTCTACGGCTGTCTTTTGTCAGTTTCATCATCTTGTTTCATTGGGATGAGTAATATTCTTGTCATTTTGGTCAGAAAAGATTAAGGGGGGTTGTTTAAGGTCAGAAATAATGTATTTGGATCTGACAGGATTAAGTAAAGTTGGGGGGGGGGACTGAACCTGGACCCTGATATGTTTGCAAGGTCAGGGGAAAATGTCTTAGAAATAAACTCTCAAGTCTGGCTTAGGAATTCTGGGAGTTGAAGTCCACAAGTCTTAAAATTGCCAAGCTTGGAGACACCTCCCCCCCTGCTCTAAATGACAGTAGGACATCTAAGGCCATCCAGATGTTACCACACTACTGGACTAGAAGGGGAAGAGAGGTTCCCCATTCTACTTTCACTCTACAATATTTCCTATTCACAAATGTTGGTATTTGTGAATGCCTTCTTTCATAAGTGTGTATAATACACATTTCCACATAAGGTAGGGGAAGAGAGAAGGTACTCATGCCAAAACTGGAACCGGATGTTATGCCTCACACTTGCAACTTCTGCCTTTGGGCAACAGGACAAGTAGACTGGGCAAGGAAGGGAGAATGTGATCATCTACGTATTACCAAAGAGCCTTCAACCCAGACAAGGAAAAAGAAACCACTGGTTCCTCTGTAATTTGTACAGGAAATTTATCTGACTATTTGTTAATAGTTATTTGCCATCTAACTCATCCTAATGGGAAAGGATGGGTGGAACTAGAGGAGTTAGTCTAAGTACCATATGGAGATGGTGGACTTCAAGCTTTCACATCTTCCTTCTTCTGGTCCTTCATCTTCAGAATGGACATCAACCGACCTGTGTGCAAATGCAAGATGCATACAATGTACACAATGTATGGCTCTCTTTTTTTTTTAAGCAGAACATATATTCAACTTCATGGCTCTTGATGATTAGTCCCAATGGAGCAGAGTCATTCCAGGTCAATGAAACTGGCCATGATAGTGGAAAAGAAGACAGGGAGTTAACTTGTATCCAAGAAGGGTGTACAAAGTAGCTTAAATGTCTCTCGTTGTTAAACCAAGAAAGAGAAGACGCCCAGATTTATTTATTTTTTGGCCAGGTAACAAGACCTGTGTCCCAAAGGTGCTGAAAACCCCCCTGTTTTCTTTCTTGTTTAGATGAGCAGGAGGGTCCCTTCTAGCTTTGTATCAACTGAGGGTCACATCAGCTTTGGAAGCTCCATGTTAGGTCTTACCTAGCAATTTAGAAGAATTCATTTGGTTAGTTATGGTCAAGGGTGGGATTGAAAATTTTTAGCAACCGGTTCTCTGCCTGGTTGGACATGGCCATGGGGCATGGCCCAGTCAGCTTCCTGCGTCATGTGGGGGGCATTTTCATCCTCCCCAGGCTCTGGAGGCTTTCCTCGAGCCTCTGGGAGGGCGAAAAAGTCATCCCCGGGCTCCGGAGGCCCTCTGGAAGCCAGAAATGGGCCCATTTCTGGACTTCTGGTACTTCCGGTAGGCCTGTTTTATGCTCTCCCAGAGTCTCCACGTGGGCCCTGCACTTTCCTGGCATCCAAAACGGGCCATGTGGAGACTCCTGGGCAGAGCAGGGTGGGCGGGGCCATCCAGCCCTTGTAACTGCCCGTTTGGTGAACCACATTAGAATTAACGTCTGGTTCATCCAAACAGGTCTGCCCCAGTTGAATTCCACCCCTCATTATGGCTTAATACAATACAATACAATACAATACAATACAATACAATACAATACAATACAATACAATAGCAGAGTTGGAAGGGACCTTGGAGGTCTTCTAGCCCAACCCCCTGCCTAGGCAGGAAACCCTATACAGTTTCAGACAAATGGTTATTCAACATCTTTAAAATTTCCAGTGCTGGAGCATTCACAACTTCTGGAGGCAAGTTGTTCCACTGCTTAATTGTTCTAACTATCAGGAAATTTCTTCTTAGTTCTAAGTTCCACCCATTGCTTCTTGTCCTGCCCTCAGGTGCTTTGGAGAATAGTTTGACTCCCTCTTCTTTGTGGCAGACACTGAGATATTGGAAGACTGCTAGCATGTCTCCTCTAGTCCTTCTTTTCATTAAACTAGACATACCCAGTTCCTGCAACCATTTTTCACATGTTTTAGCCTCCAGTCCCCTAATCATCTTTGTTGCTCTTCTCTGCACTCTTTCTAGAGTCTCCACATCTTTTCTACCTCGTGGCGACCAAAACAGGTGCAGTTTTCCAAGTGTGGCCTTACCAAAGCATTATAAAGTGGTATTAACACTTCACGTGATCTTGATTCTTTCG